CACCCCACCACGTTTGGCACCGAGCCTACCAAACCTCAACCAAGTGGGAGTCCTATCGCGGTGACAGCAAGAAAGGTCTTGACTCCCTCAAAGAAAATGTCAACTCGGCCCTCGTTCTTCTCCAAGCCGAGCCCTTGCTGCATATGGCCACCCTCGATCTAGAGGGCTGCACCGCCGCTGGTATCCAGGATATTTATGGCGACATTTCTTCCGACCTGGACTACCTCATCTACGTCAACGACATCATGGTTGACTGGATCTTACCGTGCTTGAGAGGTGACCTTGCCTCTCGGTTTCAGCGCGAAAAATCACGCCAACGCATCGTCTTGGGCGCCTGGTTCAAACAGATGGGCGCCCTCTTCCTCCAGACCACTCGTCACGACATTACCCAAGCCTCTCAGGCTCTTCGCGACCAACGCATCCGCACGGCCGACGACTTTCCTGTCTACCGCTCCTCCATCACTGCTGCCGTCGACACCCTTCGCATTGAGGGCGCCTACTCGGCAACCCTATTAGAGGCACAATCTGAGACGGTATACTTTACCACGTTGTGTGTCCTCTGGTACTTGATGTTGTCCCACCTTGTTGTGTAACATCTTGCTGTACCAACTTGCTGTACCATCTTGTTGTGTAATTTCATCAAAAACCTCTCTGTTCGCTTTGCTGTAAATTGTCATACTTTTTCTTGTTTGCCTGCTTGCTTGCTTGTTCTTTTCGTTTTTCTTTGCATACGTATCCCTTCCTTGATCATCGCCACCATGCCATTTAGTGTTATGCATACTCCTGTTGACCAGCGAGTCACTCGTAGCCGTGGCGCTGTGCAAAGCGCTGCTCGCGCTGCTGCCACCAGAAATTTTGAGGCTCACACCGACCTCACGCGCGACTTCCAGCACGAAGAAGATCATGCCGAACCCGACGCTCTCGATTGCTTGGTCAACGAGCATGAGGAAGAGGAAAGGCCGAAAATGGCCGCCACCGGGTCGCACCCGGCCACGCCTTCGACAGGAGCCGCTCCCGTCGAGGCTACCGCGAGCGCTTCTCGCCATGCCGCAAGCGCCGCCGCCACATCAGCCGCCGCCGCGGGCCCTGGATCCCCCCGCAACAATGACGCCGCCGTGGCCCAGGTCCACAGGACCCTTCAAGCCCTAGTGCACTCTCTAGGCTCCCAACATCAGCTCCAATCGCAGATTGCCGAGCTTGAACGCGAGATAAACGCTGCCCTTCGGCTCATCCCGGACAGGGGCCGCTCACATGGTTCGTTACGCGCGCACGAGACCCAG